GCAACTCCTGCTGAAATTTCACATCTATTTTTTCTTAGCGCCTCTTTCAAAACTTCTAATTCCACATCCTGCTATAGAGTAGTCAGCATTTCTTAATTTATGATAGAGCAATTTGGCAACATTCCAAATTCCTTAAGCCTTTGAATATTGTTACAATCATCTTTTGTGACTAGGATACAGTTAGAATGAAAATTCTTTATTTTTGCACTTTCTAAGTTTTCCTTTGTATAGTTCATGTATCTTATTGTTCATTTTATTTACATTGGATTGCAATTCATAAATCCTTAAAGTCAAGAGGTTATGAATAGTGCAATCCATGCTGGGGGAATTTTCTAGTACATTTTTGTGTTGATTGTTTACATCAAGAGGCTTCAAGAGCACACAAGAAACCATAAAAATTAGGTGACTTGTTGACACCTGAGAAGAAAATAATCAGCTTTTCATTTTAAATAGCCACCAGAATTACAACAGAATGCATGTTATTCTATTCACAGCACTGGACAAAACCAAGAAAGAATGAGGAAATAGGTAACCATATGGAAGAGGGTGAACTTTATCCAGTGTCTCATATTTACTCTGTGAAATGAGTTGAGGTTTCACACGGACTATATACATGACTCCAGTAGACATTAAAAATAATATTAGGGGCTGGGGTTGTGGCTCAGGGGTAGAGAACTTTCCCAGCATGTGTGAGGCACTGGGTTCGATCCTCAGCACCATATAAATACAAATAAATAAAATAAAGTTCCATTGACAACTAAAAAATTTTTTAAAAAATATATTAGTACTTTGCAGGACAGACTTTTTTCAGAGCCAGGGATTAAATTCAGGGGTGCTTAACCACTGAGTCATATTCCCCAGCCCTTATTGTTTGTTTTCAATTTTGAGACAGGGTCTCACTAAGTTGCTTAGGGCTTCCCTAAGTTGCTTATACTGGCTTTGAACTTGTGATCCTCCTGTCTCAGCCTCTTTAGCTGTGGGGATTACAGGCGTGCACCACTATGCCCAGCGGACAGACTGATTGCTAAAGTGACTACACTACCCAGAGAATCCTGTTTATTAAAAAAAAACAAACAACAACAACAAAAAAAAACGCCCTGGTCATTGTGTCAAGTTCTCATGGCAATGGAGGGGATAGTAAGTTGATTAGGGATATTGGGATTGGAGAAGAGAGGTCCTGTATAATCATGCAGATTAGGCAAGTTCTTCGTGGTCCAAAACTGCACATTTTTGGATATACTACAAATTTATCTGTTTTGGTTGTTAACTGTGAGTCTTTCCCACTACGATAGAAGCTTCAAGAAGGTAGCAACCTTTATTTTGTGTTCTCTTATATCTCCGTGTCTGTCACCCAATTTTTGGAAATTTTCTGTATTGAATGAGGTAAAAAGAAACAGTGAGAGAATTGGAAGGCAAATTTTTTAGCTCAACATGAACTGTTTTTACATGATATGTACTATGGACAGGCGGGGTGGTCTTCCCCAGGAAGTGACATCCTCCATACAGCTCCATTGGAATTAAAATGACTTTTGTGCTGGGCATTTTATGGGATCACAGATTGGATGTGTTTGGCCACTAATATCATTTCATCTCTGTGGTTCTAAACATGAGACTTCATCAAAGGTTTTTCATGTTGAGGTCCTAGACAATCATGCCATAAAGACAGAAGGTAAATGACTTGACAACCAACTGAACTTGGTGTATGGAGTGGAAAGGATTCAGAGCCTCTCAGTCTGGAAATTTTGATGCCATTTTACAAAAAAAAAAAAAAATGAATTGTAGTAGAATAACACATACAGCTGCCTCTTTTTAGAAAGGTATCTGATAATGGTGCTTAAATAGTCCCTTTAGCTATACAATCTCATATACTTGGTATAGTATGTAGGTATAGCAGTTCCATTTCACAACTGAGGAAACTGGCTCAAAGTGATTTTATAGCTATTAAGGGCATAACTCTGACATGGATTTTTGTCCTAATTCGAAGCTAGATGCTCCTAATCCAGTGTTTTGCTTCAGTAAGCTGTGAGTCACTGGAATGAGACTCCTCCTTACTGGGGGACTTTTGAACTGGCAGCTCATGAGCAGTGATAGCCCACCACTTGTCTCTTGTCTCCACTGTGGACAGTCCCTCCCCAATTCCAATTTCAGTCCTTACTACCTGCTACCAGAAAGCCGCACAGTACAACCACAATTTAATGTTTATACTAGCCAAACATTCTTGGATGGGCTGGTAAAATCCATTCCCCAATAGAAAACTGTCAAAGCAATGGGCTCTTTTTTACCCCCTCCAGTGATGATGCCTTGTGAAAGCAGCTAATGATTGGTAGTTGGGTGCAGTGGCTTGGGATCCAGGAGAAAATGAACTCAACGGGAACCATGAATAAGCTGTTAAAGCCAGGTGGAAATGAGAAGTGGAGGAAATTTGGAGAAGTAGATGAAGAAGGCATTGGGGAGCACTGAGAGGACAGGGAGTGAATGTGGTTGAATCATGGTTTCAGGAAACCAAGCATTTGCCCAGCTGAAGCATTACAACACCCCTCTTTGCACACTGCATTTATTCCAGTGGGCAGGGATGAAGAGAGAGACCACAGGAATACTGAGGGAAAAAAGAAGTACACTAGGAGTACTCTGGAAAAGTGATTTTCTGTCTCAAATATGTGACAGCAATCTACTGCAGTGTAGGGACATTTTGATTTGCTATGTAGGAAAGGTTGAGAGTAAATGCCCAGCACCTACAGAAGGTGGGGACTGGATCAATTTTTGACTTAAGAGGACAATGCCTTGCATTAGAAAGTTGAAGGAATGTGGATTCAAGAGATTCTGGCCTGTTTTCTTCTTTTACTTGCAATTTTTAGAACCACAATTCAGCTCTACTGTATTAGGGCATGTTCCATCAAACTAAAAATCAAAAGCTTTCCTATGCGAGAAGTCTCAATGTTATAGCTGAAAAAGGTGACAGTCATATTACTGCCACCAAAAATAATTTATTAACTGTGTCTGTACAAAGAACTCTGTAGGCACAAAACCCCAGGGGCTTCCTGATTCAATGCATCCTTTGCTCTCTGCCATCTCCTCAAGAGTGCCATTCCCCTCTTCACCTGTGAATAAAATGGATACCGCATGAAAACTTCATTTTGCTGAGAGTATGACAGGACAAGAGGACGCTGGCTCCATCATCTGCTCCATACAGTGCTAGGGAAGTGTACTAGGACACTGCCATTCTCAACCTCACCTTTTTGGCACTTGTGAATAAAAACATCTCTTAGGTTTCTACTTTCGACTAGGAAATACGGCAAGAGTTGGCAAGCAAGGTTTTGCACCATCATCATATACCATGCTGATAATGCTCTTCACTCTTCTTTCCTTTCTATGCCACCCTGATCGCCAGACAGGTACCACGTTGCACCTGAGATACAGGCACACAGGTGCCTGCCTACACCAGGGAAAGAACCGGCATCGGAATTTCAGAAAACCAACCCAAATCGTTTTTACATTTTTCTCTCAAATGTGCTAGTCTTGTGACGCGTGTACCTGTGCGCACATCTACATTTAAAGAAAAAAATCATTTTTTTAAGGCAAGTTATAAATGGCTTGGAGAGATCTGACAGGTCTGATCGCACAAAGGTCGTCTGCTTCACCAGCATTCCTCTCAGGAACTCAGAGGCAAAGGTGGCTCTGCATCCCGCACCCATGGCACGCAGTTAGGCAGCGGATTGCACAAGCACCCTCCCACCCGTACACGCCCCCAATCGTTCGCCCCGCAGAGTCAGTCTCTGACCCCCACTGGATCCGCGCAGGAGACCTTCTCACAATCGGTCGGGAACTGCTTTTGCCACACATCGCCAACGGGGTTTTGCTTGGATCATTTATTTATCTTTTGTGCATTAAGAAACCACCATTAGGTGTTGGTGGGAGGTGCTATTCTGCCCGAATCCCAGCCCGTCCGCCGCGATTCCGCACACACACCCGCACCCGCCTGGCTGTCAGAGCCTGCCTGGAACCGCCTTTGGCCCGGGATCTGCCTCGCTCGGGACCCCCTGACGCGTTCTCCCGCTTTTTGCTCCCCAAGCTCGACCCGGCAGCGGCGCCTTAGCGTGATTTTGAATTCTCTGCCTGCTTGTTGGGTTGCTCCCGCGGGCACCCCCTTGCGCCCCCGGCCCTGGTCGTGGCACTGGCAGCCTCACTCGCTGGAGTTTGACTCTCCGGCGGCGGCGGCGGCGGCGGCAGTGTCGGCGCCGAGCCGCGGGCGGCGGGAGCGAGGCGAGCCCGGCCGCTCGCCCTCCGCGCTGTGCTCGGATTGGTCTCTCCCGGAGAGTGCTGGCCGAGGGTTGGCTGTGGGCCGGCTGAAGAACAGGTGCACCTCACCGCCCGGGCTCGCCGAGCAGCCGCCGAGGAACGCGGCGCGCCGGGCTAGGCAAGCGGCGCCAGGCCGGCCCCCTGTGTCGGAATGCGGTCCACCGGCGCCGGGTACCCCGCGGCCAGCCCGCTCGGCCTCTGAAGGCTGTGCGCGGCCCGGCGGCGGCGCGGGCGGGCGCCCCAGGGAGCGGGCCGGGCGCGGCGCCCCGAGGATGCCGGCGCGGCTGGAGCGCACGCAGGCGGCGGGCAGCAGCAGCAGCGGCGGCAGCGACAGCAGTAGCAGCAGCAGCGGGCGCGGAGCCCCGGCGCGCAGGAGGCCGCTTGGCGGGCTGCAAACGCGCCCCACCGCTCCCTGACCGACCGGCGGCGCCGGGGGGCCGCTCTCGCCCCTCTTCCGCGATCCTCACCGCCCCCTCCCCGGCCGCGTCCCCTCCCCCGCTCCTCTCCTCCCCGCCCGCCGCCCGCCTCTCGGGGGGAGGGGCGTGGGGGCAGGGAGCCGATTTGCATGCGGCCGCCGCGGCCGCTGCCTGCGCCCGAGCCCGCCGCCGCCGCCGGAGCCCGCGCCCGCGCCCGCGCCCGGCCCGCGCGGCCCCATGCCTCTGGCGCGGCCCTCGGGGGGGCGAAGGTGAAGACCGGCTCCTAGGATGAGTGAAGGGGCGGCCGCTGCCTCTCCACCTGGTGCCGCTTCGGCAGCCGCCGCCTCAGCCGAGGAGGGCACCGCGGCGGCTGCGGCGGCGGCGGCGGCGGGCGGGGGCCCGGACGGCGGCGGCGAAGGGGCGGCCGAGCCCCCCCGGGAGTTACGCTGTAGCGACTGCATCGTGTGGAACCGGCAGCAGACGTGGCTGTGCGTGGTGCCTCTGTTCATCGGCTTCATCGGCTTGGGGCTCAGCCTCATGCTCCTCAAATGGATCGTGGTGGGCTCCGTCAAGGAGTACGTGCCCACCGACCTGGTGGACTCCAAGGGGATGGGCCAGGACCCTTTCTTCCTTTCCAAGCCCAGCTCTTTCCCCAAGGCCATGGAGACCACCACCACAACCACTTCAACCACGTCGCCCGCCACCCCCTCCGCCGCCGGCGCCGCCTCCTCCAGGACGCCCAACCGGATTAGTACTCGCCTGACCACTATCACGCGGGCACCCACTCGCTTTCCCGGGCACCGAGTGCCTATCCGGGCCAGCCCGCGCTCCACCACAGCACGGAACACTGCGGTCCCCCCGACGGTCCTGTCCACCACCGTCCCTTTCTTCAGTAGCAGCACGCCGGGCTCCCGACCCCCAGTGCCAGGAACCCCCAGTACCCAGGCGATGCCCTCCTGGCCCACTGCGGCATATGCTACCTCCTCCTACCTTCATGATTCTACTCCCTCCTGGACCCTGTCTCCCTTTCAGGATGCTGCCGCCTCTTCTTCCTCCTCTTCCTCTTCCTCCTCCTTCTCCACCACCACTACACCAGAAACTATCACCAGCCCCAAATTTCGTAAGTAAACACGCTGTCTCAACTATAATTTACTACCGAGTTTCCTTTCTGCTCTCCTGCAGTCTTTCCCCTTAACTGCCTGTCTTTAACACCCCCCTGCCCCTCCCCGCCATCCCAGGTTTGGGGCAGAGCATGGAAGATGGTTCCAACTGGTCACACGGAGGGTAAAGGCGTCGGCCTGTTGTGGGACTGTGTGTGGAGTCCAGGGGATGAGAAAGGGAGGGAGATCCTCAAGCTCCACCGGTCCTACTTTAGTGGGTCCCAAATGAGAACCGATTTCCCAACTCCTTTCAAAGGGTTAACTCCAGTGTGATCCCTTCTCACTGCAGACCTGCCGGCGAGCTCCCGGATCCGGTTCCTTTAGAGGGTTAGGGAGGGAGGGTGGGCCTTCCCCAAAGCTCCCAACCCTTTCCCCGCCCGCTGCTGGGAAGGAAGGGGACAAAAGCACTCGCAAATTGACCAAGGATAAACCACAAAGGGAAGTTATGTCCCATGGGGAATGGCTATTTGTTGGGGGTGTTGGTAGAATGTAGGGAAGACGCTTCCAGTCCAGGCGGGGACCTGGAAGGGTTAATTAGAAACCATTGGGGGAGGTAGGGAAAGGAGGCGATCCTAGGCGAAGGGCTAAACTGATCACCCCTCAGCCTTTCGGTAGCCATTCCAAGGTACAGAAATTGATTGCTGGATCCTGTGTCCACTGACTGTGAGTTAACTAGAAGGATATATGAAAGGAGCCCTGCAGAGTTGCCACCTCTAGGGTTCTAAGGTCCTGTGGAAAGAGAAAGGTTCCCCCCCACCCCAATACACACTTCTGCCAAGCGTTAGCTTTTGTTCCTTTCCCAAAGGTGGGGTGTGAACCTCATCTCCTCTCAGTTCCTGTAAAATATAGGCGGTCTGGGACAGAGTTCTCTGCACTGGAGGGTGAGAACATCCAACGCTTTTGAAACATGTCACCCTTAGGAGGTAGCATGTTCATCCTGGGCGCAATTGGAGCCAGTACTGGCCAGATTAACCCGAAGCAAAACAGCATTTTATGTTTTGGAGGTGTATATTTTCTATTTTTATTAATGTTTTAGGTAGCTAATTGACCTCCCACCCCCACTCCTCACCTTATTCTTACTCTAAAGAATTCTCAGGAACCTTTTTTATCTGACTATTGATCAGGATATGGGAACAGTTTGTGCAACCTGTGAAGGTTATTTAGGACAAACCCCCAGCATGCCAGTTCAAGTTCTGTGCAAGTCTATTCTGCAAAAACTGTCAAGTTATGCTGTCTTGATACTGTATTTCTGTTTTGAGCCCTAACATCTGGGGAAAGAAAGAGTGCTCATCATTAACTCTTCCGTGCTGGTAAAAACACCCGGTTTGCTTTCAGTCATCTGGTAATTTTTCACATCACTTACCTGTGATCTTACCAAGGGTGTTATTTAACCCTTGAAACTTTTGTAAAAGATAGGATTTGTGTACTTGTTACTAAGTTCCAGAATCAAGTCCTTTTGCCTATAGTGTGCTATGGGGGGCGGGGGAGGCTAGCAGATGAATTGGGAGACAGGAAGGAAAGGGGAAGGAAGGAATCTGCCACAAGCCAGAATGGCAGTAGAGCCAGTAACTTGCAGCTCTTCTCTGCTTTGGTTGAAGCAGTAATTTCTAAGAGTACATCAGGAGGTGCTTAGAGACTCCTTTTAGCAAATCTAGCTTGAGTTTTGTGGAGGGATAAAGGATTTGCAAGTGTAGTATGAGCATATTCAATGGATTTAAAATAGGTGTCTATCTCTCTGGAAGACCCCAGATTTTTTTTTTTTAATCCTTTTGATGCAGTTGATATGAATAATGGAGTGTGGGTGTACTTCCCAACCTTGTGTGTATGCGCCTGTGGAGAGATGGCACATGATGGGGGTATTTCATGTTCTTAGTTGATTTGCTTTCATTCCATTCTTGGGAGGTCTTTAAAGAAAAGCCTAAGGTAATTATTTCTGCCTCTCTGTGCTCTCTTTCTACATCCTGTAGTAGGGAATGGCAGCCTTTTTAATAAGTAATGATTATTGACAGGGCTCTTTACCCCAAGGAAAAGAGGGGGAAAACCTGTAAATGGTGTCAGTGTTCACTAGACATATAAGCAGTATTTGCTTTATTTGTAATCTGACGTTTTCTCCATTTTAAACCTTTAACAAGAAGTTAAATCAGGGATAAAACCAAGTATGCAAATCCAGCAGAAACTGACCTGGTTTGCATACATCAACAAGGAAAATTTTAATGAAAGGTTTATTATATAGTTTCCATAAAAAATGTAAGTTTAAATACAAATTTTTGTATGGTAATTTAAAGAAAAAACATAGTTTAATTATTTTTTTTATCTAAGACTGCAGGATGATTAACAAAAGAACATAAAGATTTCATTCAAGGGATTATCAGCACTGCTGCTGTAGGCTGAATTATTGTCTGAATATCTGACATTCATATTTTTTTTACTTGTTTTGATTATGTCACTAAAGTTCCCTGGAGAGAAATTTCCTTTTTTCCTGGCTTCTGTTTTTCTTTTAAATGAAAGTCATGGATGGTGCTGTGGCACCTGAGGACAGATTCAGATGATGCTCTATTTTTGTGAGACTAACCCACAAATTCTTTAATGGCCAGAGTCTTGGCTCTTGAGTTGAACATCTCAAGGCTTAAAGAATAAATTTCTTTGTGTTCATCTTCGAGCAATCAGAAGGATCTTGTGTGTAAAGGCAGCATAGCTCTTTGAAGTGGAAGAAGCTTGTTCACTAAGAATAAACACACTTGCTAATGGATAATAGGTTCCTTGCAAGCAAAAACTATTTTTGCAGTGAGGAAGGTTCAGTGTAGAAGACTGTTAATAATTTTGTGTAGAATTGAAGAAAAAATGATTGCACTTATACAGCAGGAGGATGAGAGCTTAGAATTTGATTCTTGTTTCTTGAGCCATGATCTGGACCAAAAGTTTCCTGCATGTCCCTGAAATCTCTTGGTTTCTCTGTAGGCCAGTACTTGCCTTCCCTTCAGAATCTTTAAAGACAAATATCTTAAAAATATTGCTACTAGGTGATTATTTTTCTCAAAGTCTCTTTGAATAATTTTGTGTCTGAAGTGTAGGTTAGTTTTCAAATTTTTCAAGCTAAATGTAGGAACCTATGTAAGGGAGAACACTGACTTTTGTCCAGTATACAAACAGCCTTTCTGTTTTCTAGCATTTGAAATTGTATTTTTAAATTAGAAATATTTGCACAGAGTTGCTAAAGCCAGTGGAGTCTTAGAATTCTTTTACTCAGCTGAAAGCACTGCTTGGCATGTAAAAGGCCAGAGTCACCAGTTAAATTCAAGTACAAAGACAAAAAGCACCTTTTAATGGGCTATTTTTAGGGTCATATTTGGAAGGTTATATAGTTATTTCCAATGAATAATATTCCAAATATTGAATAGTATTTAGAAAAGAAATGAATGTAAATGGATCAGTGAAGTTTAAACAAGATATGGAGATAATTTTCATTTACTCAAGTCTATTTAAATAAAACTTTACCCAATCACACCTATTGCAATTTTTAAAAGCATTGATGACATCAGTAATTTTCCTGTTTATTCTTTCCAACATCTCCACTCCTTCACTTCAATAAGAATATTCTTGGTTCTTTTGTAAGCAGGCTCAGATGTAGTTCACTTAAATAAAGTTACCCTGAACCTGATGTTCTGTCTATATGAGTCAAGGCCTTCAAAGGAATTCCAGCATAGAGTGTACTGACCCCAATCATGCATAGTAGCCAAAGTGAGAATATTCAAAGCTGAAGATCAATATTTCTTATGCAATCCAGTTGTGAGCTTTTTTATGAGTGCTTGCTGCTATTTGAGTATGTTTTAATTTCCTTTGGCCTCAATGCTGGGATTATGGGACTTTTTTGCTTTAATCAGTTCACTGTACAGTTTTGCTCTTTGGATACTTAAGTTGAATTTCATAGTTCAACAATAGTAACAACAACAACAAAAATATTAACCACCACCACTACAACAACAGAACAAAACCAACCATAAAAACTAGCAAGGTTAGACATAGGTTGGCAAGACTATTTTGGGGGCTCTTTGAGTTTGGTCTTAATGCATTAAGACAAAGTGGTTTAAACTTTCTTCTTGAGGTGATTTTGCTAGTGAAGAGTCCCTTTTGAAGGATTGATTTGTGAATCCACATTTGTATTTGTGCTGTTTTCCTGGACAGACTTTAAAATACAGTGTTGATCCACAAATGTATAAGAAGAAAAAAAAAAATCAACAGAAATAAACAAATTTTGTCAATTTTTCTCACTGTTACTAAAGAGCTCAGCTTTTCTAAATCTAGACTGGGTCACAAGCAGAGGTTTTTTTTTTTTTTTTTTTTTTTTTTTTTTTTTTTTTTTTCTTTTCAGAGTTTGAATCAATGCCATTCTGGGCAATCCAGCGTGCATAGGAACAAAATCTCTCCTCCCTTGTGGATCTTCCCAGCCCTTCCTTCTGGTCTTACCACAATAAAAAGAAAACCGATTTTCAATTTATTTCTTTGGTAGAATTTTTTTTTCTCATAACCTCTCATATTCACTACCAAGCATATCTCAATATTCTATCTGGGTTGTCGAAAATGGAACATGAAAGTTGGCCCTGAAATATATAAGAGCAAGGGAAAAGTCATAAATCTAAGTCTTCAAAATGCTTTGGAATTGCTTCTGAATAGGACTGAAATTCATCTTGAGTTCTTTCAATCTGTTTTTATCTTCAGACCTGTGTATTGGGCAAGGCACAGCACTGGTGTTACCTTGACAAATACCACTGTTTTGAGATTCTAGAAACTCTACTCACCTACACCTAGGAAAGCTCCAGAACCAGGTACACAGTGAAGGCAGAAGGCAGGAAGGCACTCAGTTTGTAATGGACTCAGCTTTGTAATGTCACAGTGAAAGCATATACAAGAGTCGTTTCCTATTCATTTAAATTGTAACAAAGTTTGTTTTTTTTCCTTTCAC